ATTCAAGTAGCCAGTTGTAAATTGCCTATACGTAGTGAGATTTTCAACTGTATGAATCTATAAAYAAATAAAGTTTCCATTATTATTATTATTATACCTTTTATAGTGAGATTTACAATTGTAAGTGAAAAAAAAAGTAATAAAGTTTTCATTATTATTATTAGAGTGATCGCACTTAATCCGTGCAACTGTACAAAATCTATGTGGTATTAATTTGTACTAAAAGTAGACCTGAAGCAAGACGGTATTGAATGCTTCATTTGTATCAATTCAATTTAATTTGCGTACAGCATGCACGATTTACATATTAAATACAACTAACTAGAACTATTTAGTTAATTGCACAGTTGCACGGATTAAGTGCGATCACTCTATTATGTTTTATTTCACAGAAAAATTTAATCACTTTATATAATCATGCACAAAATAGTGAGTATAGAAAGATCCTTTTTTAGTATGGCCTCAATTGGCATCCAGATCTTATTTTTATTAGATATTAATTTGTAAAAGGATAGAGAATTTACCATAAAAAAAACACCTTTAAATCACATATCATTACTATACTACAATCAAAATGATATAAGAAGGGTATCAGCAAGAGTGGTTTAGGGAGAATCAGTGTTAAGGTTCAAGTGAACAAGAAGGGAAAGCAACATGCCTAGAAAGGGCTTAATTGAAAGAATTTCTCTTAACCTAGAATAACCTAATGTTACTGGAAGTAACCCTTTTAACTTAACTAAATACCTCCAGTGTTTTTTCACCAAATGATATTCATTTTGTTCGACAAATTGTAATTTATCCTCGGTTAAATTGAAAAATGAAAATTAATGATTGAGAGATTGAGTGATTAATTTTTTTAGGGCTTTATTATTTCTCACATTAGAATTTCTGCTCATCCTCATAATCATGGACTATTTAAGTTGCAAATTTTGTTCACCCACTCCTCCACTCAAATACCTGCCTATAGCACTTATAGGTATACTTAGTTAAGTCATAGGAACTGATCAACAGATTAAGTCTTTTTGTCTGCAGTTGTAGTTGAAATTCGATAGTGTACCTTGAATAAAACAATTTAAGATTCCCTTTTGCGAATTCAGTAACTATAAGTACAATGGTCAGATCAATTAATATTGTTATGGTATTGTTTTTATTTCAAAACCTTGTCTATTATTTTGATAATTCTAATAAAAACTTTGAACATTAGTAATAACAGCACTCCGGAGGCTGTGAACACTTGTGCTTTATACGGCTTATTAACTTGGTTTATAAATCCCCATCCTACCCCACCCCATCCCAGATTTACATCTTCCAATATTTGCTATACACGACTTTCAAAAATGATTGAAGTTCACTACCACCAATATTGGCGGACTTGTGACGAATCATGGAAGCGAGACTTGAAAGGCCTTCCATCTCAAAATCACTACCAAGATCACATGTAGTTGGTGTCCAAAAGTTTGAAAGATGTATTGGTGTGTTATTTATATCAAAACACTCTTGTAAGACACTTTTGAGACCTCATTTTAGTGCTTTGCGGCATATCAAGCCATTTCTGAAAGTCATGAATGACTTCTTTAATAATCTCAATTATATTTTTTTTGGCAACATGAAGAACTTGCATATTTCAGATGTCAAATGATTATGTCCTGGGCAACCCAAAATGCCACATAAAAACATTACCCTAAAAAAATCCAAACTTCCTAATTGGCTTCTGAATGTATATTTTTGATAGACCATGTCCCATTCAATGAAGAGAAATGGTTGAAAAAAAATGTATTTTATGGTGTATTTCAAACTTCCATTATAGTTTGGTGGGTAGTAAACAAATTTACTAGTACACAGCCTCGTGGATTTTCAACTTGTATTRTTCAGTCCACCTCGAGGTCTAATTGTTAAATAGCTGGTGTTTTGGGAAGCCAGAGCTATATATATTAATATGTGTTGCTGTATCCAGACACCTTAAATTTCTTTATTGGAATTGCAATTGRTAGAGCAAATTTCATAAATTACTGTGCAAAAAAGCATGGCACTTTCATGTCTTGATCGTGCCGTAGTGGTTATGTATTCTTGAAGCACTTATATTTTAATTTGGCATTGATACCAGGCAAGGTGCTGTGCCATGACCATGCCGTGATCTGTGCACCTTTGCACAGTCATTAGAAAATGGCTCTAATAAATCTTTTCTGGAATTTTAAGTAGAATGGGGATGCATACCTGATTTTAGCCAATAAACAGTTGGTCAAAATTATGTGTACTCGGCAACTTACTGTTAAAATGGTGGGAACTTAGCAGTATTTTAACTTACTGTTAAAACTGTTTTATCAGCAAAAGTGGATGTAAAACAAGTTAGATATGCTAATATTGTTAATTGATTGACAGGTTATTAATGCAGTGTTAATTGGCAATGCCCACTAGTGCCTGCAATATATATTTATATCATCTCTGTGTACTTGCTCGAATACTCTGACAAATTTAATATGCACAAATTTGTCAGAGTATTGGAATCCCTCAATGATGTGATGCGTAGCGATGACACATATTTTTTACTGTTTCATTGGTGAAGCAACTTGTGATCCTTTCGATGATCTTTTTCTAAATTGTGGACTGCATATCACACTCTGACAATTTTAAAGAATCAGTTACATATAAATCAGCTTAGAAATAATATTTAAAACTTATTTAACTTTTAGCTATCACAACAATCTAACTAGCAATAATTCCTTTTCCCTTTAGATGAAACATCAAAATTATGAAAAAGTAGAAAAGGTAATTAAATTCATACAAATTTATTAGGATCAGCTCTTCAGGTGTCTCAAATAGCTGTCGGCTTTGACAACAATAATTACAATTAAACAAAACTGTTATCCATTCAACCTTTTCCTGCTTTTCAACCTACATTGAAGTCATCAACAAAATTTGACTATTAAATTATCATGATAGTCCAATAGACACAAAAAAAATGAACATGCAATTAGAGTACTTGGTGTATTGTATGATTATTAGTGTGTTGGTTTGCTGTCCCTGATTATATATGGCAGTAGGATGCTAAAATGATGTTTGAACTGAAAAGTGATGGTCAATTTCTGTTGACAGCTATTCCAGAGGTGCCTCATCAAAGTTTTAAATATAGACTTGTGGAAGTTATATCTTACTTATGTCAAAGAAACAAAAAGTTCTCTTCCAAATTTCAGGTATTTTAGAGTGAATGCTATGTTCTTCTGAGATCACCTGTCTAAGCTAACCCTATCATTATAACACCCAATACTTAAACTAACACAATTCTGATGACACACAATATYTTACCCTAACCCTACCCTAATGACAGCCCATGCACTAACACAACCCCCTTGTGACAACCCATTAATAAGTGTCCCACTGCATTCTTTCTTACCCAGCATTTTGTGTTTTTTTACTGTCTGCAATATCAAGGTGTCCATTGTAGCGGAGTGTCTGTAAGGCGAGAGTTGACTGTATGTGCACCATCACCCACATTACATTATACATCATTTAATTATCATCATGACAAATGCTGAAATCATTGTCAATATTACATGATAACTAAAATGATGATGTCTGAGCTGCAATCATTAAAGATTTTTTTGAAAGTGCTATATGTTGTCTTGCAGGGAAAAAATGTCTCAGGCTTATGAGTTTGCATTAGACAAGATTGGCTTAGACTTTCATTCCTATCAGGTGTGTACAAATACAATTAATAATTATTATAATTTCTTTTTAGTCGAGTTTCAAGATCTTTTTACATAAATATAATATCATTGCTGTGTTTAGGTGTGGATGGATTATATAAGTTTTCTAAAGGCTGGGTAAGTGGATATTAGTTGCCTTTACTGTTTATGAACATTTTGAAATCACTCCGACAGTACTATTACGATGTAGTTATATATAATATTGTTATTCATATTTTTACAGGGAGGCTGTAGGATCATATGCAGAGAACCAAAAGATTATGACGATAAGAAGGGTCTTTCACAGGGCAGTGACTACACCCATAATTAATGTTGAGGCAATATGGAGAGAGTATAACACATTTGAACAGGTTAGTCATATTAGAATTCAATAATGTTTACTCTTCAGAGAGCACACTGTTATTTCACTTTAAGTGAACACTTACACAATAAATAACAATAAGTGAAAGTAGATGTTACAGTAATTGCACTAAAATCTGATGTGATTTAGGGTGTGAACAAGACACTTGCTAAAAAGCTTATTGATGACAAAACTAGAGAATATATGAATGCAAGAAGAATGGGCAAGGTAAACTATATGATAACAAACAAATCAGAATCTAACTATATTGTATTTATTACTCCCCCCAACTTAATTGGGTGGGGGTGTGGCACTGGGACCTTAAAACCCTGACCCTGTTCCAGAGTGAAATCGCTGAAAACTATACCCTGTTCCAGGGTGAAATTGCTGAAAATGATATACCCCGGGCCGTTCCAGAGTAAGATCCTAACCACTAGCCTTACACCGAATTTTTACCCCATGAATTTTTACCCAGCATCGATAATTCCGGAATTAAACCTGACCCAATTATCCAATTATTCATTATATGTAAGAGTTAAAATGGTCTCCTTCGCATCCTCCCATTTTGTCGGACTTCCTGTCTCTCCTGTTCCTCCTTTTGGGAGGGACAGGAAGCCCGACAAAAGGGGAGGATGCGAAGGAGACTAGAGTTAAATAGCCTGATTTTCAGATGGGGCCTGGGTCCTGGGGGCGGAGAGAAGCGTAGGACCCAGGCCCCGTCTGAAAATCAGGCTAAGAGTTAAAAGGCCAAGGTATATTCATCCTTGGAGTTATTGGCCGATTGGATGTTTGTGGCTTATTATATTGATGAAATAATTTTATTAAGTACATACAGGTAGAGTACAAACATTAAATGTGTGCAATACTTTCCACTATTTACTACAAAATAGTGTTAATTAGACTGACAATAGAAAACAATAGAATTATCATAATTTAGTGGTATTTATGTTGCACAGTTTTAGTGTTTGTACTCTAGTCTTTTGAATTAATAATTTATTTAAATATGAGATATACAGCCCCATGAATAACAATGAAAACCGATTTGATCATTGAGATACTAAATTGCATAATTATATTACTTGATCTGATTATTTTGAATTAATCCATGATAGGAATATGAAGCTACTACAAGAGGTTTAGTGAGAGGAGCACCATCAACTCCTCACCAGGGGAACTCKGAGGAGATCACACAGGTATGATGACAAATTTACCAAATTACTCTTACCCCCAATAATACCAGTAACAACAACTTGATATTAACAGCATGAATGATATTAAAATCTAAAACTTCTATAATTTATAGCTTATTTTGGTCATTATAGACACCCAGGTACAACATTCAAATCTACACACTTTGTGTTAATTTCAAACTAAGGATTTATTTCATGTCACACATTATTTTTTTTCGGTCCAGTATCCTAGTCGTTATTCCACTGTGATTGGCTAGCGCACGGTCCGGGGTATMCTGCAGCTAGGCTGTGAGCAAAGTTGCATAAAATACAAATTAAAAAAATGTTTTACCGGATAGAGGTCGGTCTGTATAGGAAACACTGTCCTCAGTCTTTTATGTACAGACCTCGCTGCACTCATTCCATCTGTCAAGTGTTTTCCTTTACAGACCTCCCAGCTGGTAAATATTTTTATTCAGTTTATGATGCAAACAACATGTGAATAAAATCACATACAAAGCACTTTCCATGCTATAATCTGTTTATTAATATATATATAACGAGATTTTTATTCGGCATACTTTTTAATAAGCATGTTCAACTATTTATGAGAAGCAAACTCAATATGAGCTTATGTAGATAAAAATGCAAAGATAATAAACTTGATATAACTTAAGGCTTACAAATAAATAACTAAATTAATAGTCGTATTGTCCGTAAAAGCACCATTGAAACTGCAAAAACGTACAAGTTTTAGTTTGATTTTATAGTAAGTACAGGTTAAGACAACAAATAAAAGTTTTCCTTTGAGTTAAAGAACCTACTTCTTGGTTGGTATGTGAAATACCATGCTGCAAGCTTATTTTGCGATCCTACAACATCTCTACATTTAGTGCACAATATTTTGTCAAAACTGCATTTTAAGTAGTATATAAAAAATTATATACTTTTAGCTTCAGATCTGGAAGAAGTATATTTTCTGGGAGCGTAGTAATCCACTGTGGGTGGATGACACAGTGTTGTTAACCAAGCGTGTCATGTATGCTTATGAGCAATGTTTACAGTGTATGGGGTTTAACCCTGATATCTGGTACGAAGCAACTTCATATCTGGAGACAACTAGCAAGACATTAGCTGAGAAGGGTGTAAGTACTTATCAATCCTTGTTGTTCTGTTGATGGACTTCAGGAGCACCAGAAAGAGCTGAACAAATCAGAATTCAATGGAGTGCCTGCAGTCTCAGATAACATCAACTTCTGTTTCTATAAGAAGAGTTGTTTATTTTGTCACTTAATTAAGTCAGTCTTTCTTGAACAATGTTAAAACTGTATATTATGCAATACTATGACAACTAGTTTACAATCATGATCAATCCAATCAAGACATATAATAATTATTTTATTGATAGGATATGCAAGCATCCAAACTACTAAGTGATGAAGCATCAAATCTGTATGAAAGAGCAATAAATGGTCTGATGGGACTAAATCTGTTAATATACTTGGCATATGCTGATTTTGAGGAGGTACTTATTCCTGTTATAGCACATATTGAACTATTTTTACTAGTGATAATATCACATTTTGTGGTATCTCTATTGGAGGCAAATAAATTATTATTTTAAAACATAATTTACATTAGACAATTATTATATGATAAACAGAATAAACAGACATGGTCGCTTCGAGACATGAAGGAGGGAAATATTTTCAACAGGAGAAGATAAAATCAGTATCTCCACACACCTAGTATATATTCCTCAATATATTACCTGGTTGCTTGGAGATGTAAATTTCAACTTCTTGTGTTGAAAAATGCTCATTTGTTCCCATGATCATCATCTTCTTGTCAATAYGCCAAAAAAAGATAAAAACCATTCTCTGAGCTCCTCAATGTATTAAATATATTAAAAGTTGTGACTGTTCGATCTCTTAGATTACAATTTTTGTGTATGATCAGTTGCATAATATTTTAGCTTTAGAGACTTTCTGTTTGATAATAATGTACTGTTCATAGACCATAATATATAGATGAGTACCTAGTATATTGTACACCTGTTCACACCAATTTCAGTATCCGGTAATTCTAAAGTATGCACTTCTAGATTTCAAATACGTGTTATATTATTTCTGTAATGAGTTCTGGAGGGAGTTCAATAGGTATGATGCTATCCTTGATGAGACAAGGGAATCTGACTTTGCTGCTATTTTAGGGAAGAATGAGATTTACAAAGGCTAAAGAAATTTATGAAAAGTTCATTGGTCTTGAAGGAGTTGACCCCACACTGGTGAGTTATATTATAAATGTTGTCATAAACTCTTTTTTTATAATAAGTTTGTGTGTTGAAGTTTAAGAATCAATGTGGATCAGCATTTTATCTTTCCTTAATACATTCATGGTTCCATTTGTATTAAAGATAAATTTCCATTCTTTGCCAAACAATTTCTTTCCTCTCTGGATTTAGCAATTCTTCTAATTAAAGATCTTGTTGGCAGAATGCAAATTTGGTCTCAGGTTTTTTTTTTCTACTAAGCTTTGTTTTGATGTATAAATGTCACACTTCTTCTGGCATATTTTACAACAAACTGGTTGTATTTTTTCTATAGCTCAAAGTGGGTGTGTGTGGCACTCCTGTGTTCATCTGTCTCTAAGATGCAATATTCTTTCAAGTCGTCTCGAGTTTGTTTAATCCAGGATTTCCAGTTTTTGTATATTATACAGTAGTCTCAAAATATCCTCTCTCTACTTTAATTTCATCATTACATTTTATTAATTTGCAATAAGTCTCATTCTCAGAAATATAAAGGCAATTAAAGGTCTCAGTCTTTAGAGTTTTGTGATCTTACAAATTACCTTGGTGTTGAATTTAGAAACCTCAAATATCTGGATGATGAGGACTATCTGCACTGGCCCTAAAGATATGTGAAAATTGGTTCTTCCTTTTGAAGCCTTGTTTTCAATTTTTTTCCCCCAAACTGTGATCTTAGGGGTGGAGCTCTTCATAATTTAATATGTCCTCCTAGTCACACAAAAATCTCTTTTAATCTTAAACTCACAATTCAGTGGTTTCTGATGTAAAATGTAGACCTTTTCTAGTGTTTGGCGTTCTAATGTGGCTGTAAAGCTTACAGGCAACATTTAATGATCAAGTAACTTTTCATAATTGTCAGGTTTTATTCATTACAACTTTATATGTTATATGTTAATTGACGTATAATTTATCTCACTGCAACTGTTTCAGGCATATATACAGTACATGAGATTCTCAAGGAGAGCTGAGGGTGTCAAAGAGAGTAGAGCTGTGTTCAAGAGAGCTAGAGAGGATACTAGGACAAACTTTCATGTAAGGCACTTGCATTATTATCTGTAATATACACTGTAGGTGGGACAAGAGTTACACCTATTTCACTGGCTATGCTGTATATACTGAATCAGTTGTGTTTATTTTTAAGGTTTTTGTAGCCTCAGCTCTGATGGAATACTACTGTGGGAAGGATAAAGCTGTTGCCTTTAAAATCTTTGATTTAGGACTTAAGGTTAATAGATTTTTTTCCCACAACAATATTGGTGTTCTATGGAAGTTAAAAAACAATTATAGAACCATACTACATGTATCTTACTCACAGCGACAAATAATAGTCTTTGTAAATATGTGCATCTAGAGGTGTGTGGAATATAATTTTAGCAGATCATCAGCTGTAGTAAATAGTTGAAACAATCTAAACTCAATTTCTTCTTTTTTGCATTTTAAAACAGAAATATATAAATGAACCTGAATTTGTTGTTTCATATGTGGATTTCCTGAGACAGTTGAACGGTATGTTATTATATTCACTTTTCAATGACTATAATTATAATTCATATTTTTTTACTAGTTTAGTCTGCTTACCTTTATACTGCAGTATTCATGTAGAAGGATCCTTGTTTACAAACATTTAGCAATCAACAGCTGCTAATAAGTAATTACAAATAATTTGAATATATAACTAATAATATTTTTTTAGTTATAGCTAACTATTGACTGGGGTATGGACAAAAAGGGGCCATTTTGCATGACCATGCGCGAGYACCTGTATTGTCGCATTCTTACTTGCAGGCTCACAACAGGCTACCCACTCATTCACTTGTTACACGACGACGAAAAGTTATAGTGCATTCCTTTAATTCTCTATATTTTCGGTTCCATCGCTATTTGCGAGCGTAAATAAAGAAATTTAAAATGAAATAAAGTATGCAACAACAACAATACAAAAAAAATAAAAAGAAATTATCGATCTGCAATAACATAGCTAAAAGATCTAGTTTGTAACAATCAAATGTCTAGTGGTGGACCCGCGTATTTGTGGCACTTTATAAAACATAAAWTATGATAATCAGGCCTGGGACTGATGAGCAGTCGAGTTCGGATAGCATTTGAAAAATTAGCGGATTCYTTCAAAAAAACGTTAATAMTATTTCAAAATTTGTTTTCTGAGCAATATGTTGGGAGCTACAGCCCCCTTCCCCACCTGTTTTATAAGATAAGAAGATCAGATGACAATACATGAAATCAAAGAAATGTTGCAGATTTGTTGTACTCGATGTTACCATAGTTAATTTGTTACATGCAGTGAAGCACTGTGTGAAGATTATATTATTTCCAGGGAGGGGTGCAGGGCAATCAGCCAGGGAGCTCTCCAAGAAACCATGACAAATGATACACAAATAAAAGGAAGCATACTAAATCGAGGGGGCGAGGGGGTTATTGCAAACTCCCTGCGCCCACCAGCTGAATTAGCCCCTSWSYCTGTARCTAAAAACAAGCTTTAACAAKTGGATATGAGTTTTATTTCATATTTGTGACAGGCCAAACAGAGCATCATATGGTAGAATATTGCAAATTTACCAACCTTAGACATCAAATCAAATGAAATAAGTGTGGTATTCTCTCACACAAGTCAGATATGTAATTATTAATGATAGTGACCACATTAGCATATTTATCATGTATTTGATTCTTCATAAATAGCAAAACAATTGCCCGATCGCTGATATATCATGTATGGCCTTTTGTAATGGATATAACATGTAATACATCTGATTTCATGCTCGAATATTTCAAAATTCACAAGTTTTGACCAAAACATAATGACCATGTAAACAATGCTTACAATCTTGCATCTTCGCCAATTTTCGAATTAAAGGTCATTCATAAAACAGTATCAATATACATACGATTATAATCATTTCTGCTTGGTTTGTATTTTGTATTTTCACTAGTAAGATTTAATAATATTTCAAGATGAAAAATGTCAAAAAGCGCGACTTTAACAATTATCGCATTAAGGCTGTGTTAACCGTTTCGCTCTGATTGCAAGCGATTTCAAATCAAAATGTTGTCATAAAGTACAAATAGCATCCAATTTACATGGCTATAAGAACAGGCACCAGAGCGTCTTGTTTCCTAAGATGAACCAACAACAAAGTATGGTTTTGACCACATTTCAGTCGCCATTTTATTTTCTCCAAGTCAGTCACCCTATAAGATTTTTACCTATATTTTAAGAAGATATACTCCAGAAATTTAACTTGAATAAGACTTTCAATACRTATTCGTTACTGGCCGTTAATAGACTTGACATTTGAACCTAATCAATTACTTGTTGAAGAATGAAAAAGCGTATTTTCCTGGACGTAAATTATGTAAACATCTCGACCGAGAAGTAATGTTTAAAGTCTGACAATGAGGACTGGACGGGATTTCAAGTCTGCGCAATTAGTTCCAGTCCGAGGCGTTATTGGAGGACTTTGAATGACTTCTCATACTCAATAATTATTCGGGAGGGGAAAAAAGCGAAGGAAATACATATAACAGAAATATATTGATTTATTGCATCTCCACTAAGGTTTTCAGTTTTCATAAGTTTAAATACATGAAGCACCGTTTGTTGTTCTTTAATTCCCGGACGGCTTTCTGAAACAAAAGCTATTCAAATTGTCTTTGTCTGCTATTCATGGCATTCCTAATGAGCCTAATCCATAAGATTTATAGGTATGTTATCTTCCAAGAAATCGCATCTCTGTGGTGTAATGGTATAAGACGGCGCATATAGACTGGACTGTAGGGGATCGAGTCGTGAGGGAGCCATGTATGAAAGACTTTTTTTCACTAAATTAATGTTAAACTGATTTATATTTATATTTCTAATATTTGATTATCATTAGCTAGTAGTAGTTGGAAACATGGTAGAAGTAACTAGAAACAAGGTAGAAATAGCTGGAAATAATGTAGAAGTATCTTGAAAAAGGTAGAAGTAATTGGAAATAAGGTAGAATACAAGGTACGAGTACTTYCTCTGGTTTCAAGTTACTTCACGTGGTACAAATTACTACCAGGGATTGGCTGGATAACTCATGAATAATTAATGAGTATGAGAACGAGCTGCGAAACAGTGCTGTGACCAAGGTACCTCAAGCGTATCGTGCATGCGCARTGAAATGGCCCCTTGTTGGTATGGACACAATGCCAGATTAAGGAAATTGTCTGTTTATGCCTCATTGAATTCTCAGTTAGTTGGATAATTGAATAYATTATAGTTAAGAATTGTTTCACACTTATGTGACATGCACAGACTTTTCTATTTGTTTTTAGAAGTCATCAAAGTATGAAAAGCATAAACTCCTCACACATAACACATTAGCATGTTATTGTTCTCACTATCATAAGGGGTTATTGTGTGAAATTATAATTTTAAAAGTACTGCACTGACCTAATTAAGCTACTTTGAGCTTGAATGTCACTCACCTTCATGCACCTATTGATATATTTATTATCTTGAACCAGATGATAACAACACAAGAGTACTTTTTGAAAAGGTCCTCACCACCATGCCAAAAGAAAAAGCAGGGTGAGTKGCAAATTGACAAGTGTTTCTTCCAAGAAAAAATATAATATTATGTTAATTATAATTATAATAAATTGAATATTGTACTTCATCAGGGATGTGTGGTCAAGGTTTTTAGAGTTTGAAACAGTCAGTGGTGATCTCTCAAGTATATTAAAAGTAGAAAAAAGAAGATTACAAACATATAAAGAGGTTGGGTAATCAATCATATTATTATTGTGATTTGAAATGTACTTTATTAAACCCTTTAATTCCCAAATTTCTGGGGAATTTTTAACCACTTTAAAGGTGAGAAGCTTCAAAAAACGATTTCAGCACTGACTTTACGGTTGTCAAGGGAACTGATGCTGATTTACATAGCCAAACATTCAAGCTCTTGAGGGATGCCTGCTACGTTTTTGCTTGTGTCTGGATAGCGAACAGCTCGTTCAAAACACAGCAAAACTTGGTTGTTTTTAAGTATTTTGTAAATTCAAAGTCAAGCACAAGAGCCCCTAGACYTGCATTATTAAGCTTGGCTAGGCGGCAGAGGTGCTCTTCTGGAAGAAATCAGAGGTGAAGCAATTTTGCGAAGAAAATGGCGATCGTCAGTTTGTTCAAAGCCGATGGCGCCATTGGAGTGAAATCAACTCCCTGGCTGTCTTGTGTTTGGTTTCATGACCTACCATGCTAATTCTAAAAAAAGCAATGGCTGAATATTTTGTGGGTAGGACCGAATGACTTGGCACAAAAAATATTGAAAATGCAGAGTACGCGTTAGTCCCTGTCGAGAAAATATGCAGTTACCCATAAATCTGTCCAAGACTGTAACCCAAGAAAACATGTGTGTCTGGGAGTGGACCAAAAAAGGAGCTTCTTCTCGGCTTGCTCAATAGAACAATAAGCAATAGACTGACCAATGTAAAGTAAAAATGCCAAATTTCCTGAAAAAGTTGAGTTTCGGCATGAATGTAAGGATTTTGAGCAGTAGAACTGGAAAGAAATTAGGCCATTCTCTAGCGTCCTTATCTAAATTGTGCAGCTCAGTCTATCTCACCAAAACAAAGTGACTTAGTTTAGAATTTAGAAGGCAGGTAATTCCCTAAACAACACAATCAATACATTTGCCACTAAGCAGAGAAAAGGAAATTTTTTTCTAAAAGAGTGGTCAATTATCATACAAATATTATGCAAGATTGGAAGTTAAAGGGTTAAGGAAGGGTTTAATTATTGCCAACTGACAATTGGACAAGGATTCCTTTGTCTTCTAAATTTCCCTTTCACGAGGGAAATTAGGGTTTGTAAACCACTCAGAAGACAAAGTAAAGAATCCGAGGCAATCATGTTATWACTAGAGGATGATGCAAATAAATGGAACAGCTTACCAGAGTACATAAGGGCCAGTGGCGGGTCAAAGGAATTTGTCAATAAAATTAGAAAAATGAAATTTGATTAAATTAGATTAAATAAATTAGACTCAGTCATGTAAAATAATTATAATTGKTTGTAACAAACTACTCTGGTTTGTCATTTACAGGAGTTAGATCACCATGAAACTGCAGTGCTGGTTGACAGATACAGATTCTTAGACCTTCTTCCTTGCACACAGACAGAATTGAAAATTATGGGATATACGGTAATGTTTTTCTTAGCTTGTCTGTACACTAGCACAACAGATGACATCATATCAACATGATGATGATGCAACAATCTGTAGTGTTGTATTCAAATTTATAGATTAAGAATCTAGATTGCAACCCTTTTCTATTCGTTAGACAGTGAGGTTTTTTATTGTTTGTTGTTGTTGAACCTGAGCAAGGATTGATATGGAATTTGTTATGCATTTGTTTGGTGCTTCACCTTAGACTGAAAAAATATTGTAAAAGCTGGGCTTTTAAATTTTGAAAAGTTCCAGTTGAGGTCTTAAAAAATACTTTCTTAATTTGAACACWTATTACATGAAAGAAAATATACTTTTAGATTGAGATGTGATAGCACAGGAAGAGAATAGAATACTAGCTCATTAGGATGCATTTTGATTAGGAACCTGAAAAACCCCAATAATTTTAAGAGGTGCTCAGAGGAGGTATTTGAGATGAATCATTCGTATTTCAAAGTTCTTGCAGTGGACTTGAAAAGAATTGAAAGTAGTACTCCTCGGTTTATTGAAAGTACTCTGTACATTATGATCATCTGGGTGGATGTAGTTCTGAGAAGAACTGTTTGATGTGACTGACGTTTCGACCACCTGTGCTGTAATTATTTTCAAATTCAAGTGAGGAAACAGTGAGGTTTGCCCTTATTTATATGCTAATCAATAGGTGTYAYGTAATTAGCGGTACTGGGTAGGCGTTTCTAGTGGTATAGGTCCTATTGTGTGTCGGCATTGTTTAAGCAGTCCGTTCTTCTGGTGTTATGATTGTCAAGTTTGTTTACAATTCGACTGTATGGCATTRGTAGCTTATTTGTGATCAGTTAATTAGTTTATGCTCTAATTTGGTAAACCAACTTTTAAGGACTAGTCTTTTCTTTCTGTTTACACAAAAAAWTTTGCMRGAATCCCAGTTGATCGAGTGGCCAGTCTTGGTATAATACATGGTGATGTTATTTTTATCATCCTGGGTTAGAACTGCTTTCTGGTGTTCTTTCTTTCTAGTCTCAATTAAAGATCTCCCTGTCTCACCAATATAGGTAGACTCACAATCGTTACCTGTATATATTTTGTATTCTATTTTGTATATAGCGCCAACCCGATCATTGGGATAGTCTTTGTCTTTTACTTTTGTCAGAATCTGGTGTAGAGTAGATGTGGGTTTATGTGCTACGCGGATGTCATATTTTTTTGAGATGTTGAGTCTCAGCCCATACATTATCTGCTGAGTCACAAATGATTTGAGCACGCCTTGTAAGCATTTTGGTTGTTGTGGCTTTATGAGAGGATGGATTATAAGATGATTGATCAAGCAAYCTGTCATTGTTTGTAGRTWWATGATAGACGGTTGTTTTTAAGGCATTATTTTCACGGCTTACTAGGCAGTCTAAGAATGGTTTTTACCGTTTTTCTCAAGCTCTCGAGTAAATTTAATATGGTCATTCTATTCGTTCAAACGTTTAAGAAAGGCGTCAATGTCATCTTCCGGTAAGGTTGTTATGGTATCATCTACATATTGAAACCAGAATGGTGATGGCTGTTGATATGTTTGCAGGGCTTCTTTCTSGATCTTTTGCATGACAATCTCTGCTACAACTGCAGAGGCTGGAGAACCCATTGCTGTRCTGTGAAGCTGTTTAAAATGCTTACCATTAAACTGGAAGAAAGTAGATTCAAGACATAACTTTAAGAGAGCCATAATCTTACATTCTGGCATAGGAAGTGTAGTATCAAAAATATAGACTGTGTTCTCCTAATTAAGGGACTTCTACTCAGTACTGTCTATAGAGCCATCTGTATTGGGAGTCTAGTGAACAGAGACTTCACATCAAAAGACACAAGCTTGTAATTATCAGGAAAATGAATTGTCTTGATGGAATTGATAAAATTCTCTGTTGATTGCAACTTATGTCTGGAGGTGTTGTTAAAGGTTGCAATATACGGGCCAAATATTTAGAGAGTTGGTAGTAGGAGAATCACAAAAGAACACTATTATGGGTTGCATATGAAACTTAGGCAGCCCATATAACTTAGGTTATTGTGGTGCAGAACACCTCAACCATTATATTCATAACTACTCAAACATTCTTTCTTCTTGAGTTCCAACAGTTCCTTATTAAGACGTGGGAGCTGGACCAAATATGTGTTAGTACTATCTTTCACCAAATCATTCTTTTTCGATCTCGTTACTCTGATTTGTTCATAACAACAGTAGTGCAACCTTTRCCAGTGGGCAATATGGACAATATTATCATTGAAAGTACTCTACCAGACTTCCTTAGATTTTCATTTTGTACATCAAATAACCATTCCATATTGGCTACTCTCCTTTTTAATTATTGACAGGTTAAAAGTTTCCTTTACACAATTTCTGCCATTTTTATGATAATTTATTATATAGCAACTAAGAATCAACATTTTTATGAAGTGATTTTACTGATGTTTTGTGAAGATATTTTTTTATTGACAGGAGTATTATTTTATACAAACAGTCCAATTGAAGGGGTGGATGCGAGAATGGCTTAAGTGATGATTCAGGGTATTTTTGAAATTTTCGAAAAATTGAAAAAAAATCAAATTGCTTTATTTCAGTCTAAATAATCTTACTTATAGTACTTATTTCTCCTGATTTTTTTTCGAAAAAGAGGAAAAAAAGGCCCATAGTTACGGACTTCTTTGGCTTGACAACTGATCTCTAGACCATAAAATATCCTATATTTACATATTCAAGCTCGTGACTTTGACAGTTAGTTTGTTTGGTTCAAAGCTGTACTAAAAGAAGTGTTTTTTCACGTTTTTTTTTTTCAGCCTTTTTGCCTTTAGTCACTTCTCTACAGACATCATTAAGTTTGTAGGTAGCGAAGGAGCTCACTTGCTGAAAGAATCCAGCTTGGTGTGTGACTTTTTAAGCAATTTTGTTTCAGCAGTTGATACAATTAACTTTGGACCTTCGCTTAAAGGTGTTGTTTGCTTTCAAAACTCAGATTTTAGAGACTAACYCTTAGCTAACGTTAACCCTTCCCTACCCTAAACCCTAACCCTTCTAACCCTAGCCCTAAATCAAGGAACCCTAAACCCTGTCTTAGATTATAGGAACCATAACGTTTTTGCATTAGGCTGAAACAAATCCTAAATTAAAGTTTGGGGGGACCGTAACGAAATGTTGATTTTTTTCACTTTTTTAAAGGAAATCACGAGMAATAACTAGCAAACATGATTATYTAGACTGAAAATAAGTGATTGAAGTGATTTTTTTTYAATTTTTCGAAAAATTTAAAAAATACYCTGAATYGTCACTTAAGSCGTTCTCGCATCCACCCCTTCAATTTAGTGAGTGCTGGTTTAAATGGAGACATGTTTACAAATTATTAGATAAGAGGGCAATGGAACATTACAAAAGGAAGATAAAAACATTTTTAATAGAAAAATATAGCCGGGGAAAACTYACACATTAGCAGCATATTAGCATTCTTTCAATCCCATCTTAAAAGTCACAATTGATGCAATTTATGTTGGAGTGGAATGTGTTCCACTGTTTTTTTCCTGCGATAGAAAAACAAGCTTAAGTATTAAGCTGTCTGGGCTAATGCACAGTTGGTCTTTGTTGCAAGTATAAGTAAGAGTGGATATCACTCCRCRRCCTCTGGCTGAACTCATGTACTAAGTATGCAGGCGCAAGGCCATGCATCATTTAAAAACCAAGAGACAGGTGTGGTAGTGTATTGTTAACTCGAGCAATGACCAAGAAAAAGTGCTTTGTCAAGATCTTGCAGCAAAACATTGTAACTTTCCATAATGTTAGCAGCATGCCTATACAAATGATCCAGATATTTCTTGTTAGTCTTACCGGTCATCCCTTATTGTACAACAGTAGTCAAAGAGAGGCAGTACTAATGGCATTAACAATGTTACATAAGACTCTTTGAGGAATGAGCACAAAATTCATTCAATGTTGACATGCTTGTTTCACAAGAATGTGTTGCTGTTACCTAGTGTTTGTCTTAGTTGTCTGTCAGTGATCATCATTTAACTCATCGCTAGTTCACACACAGGATAATTTTGTTTACKTATTAATTAATAAACTCAGTCCAGCCAAAATCACCTAATTCTGGACCATCTACAGACTCCCCAATATAGTCTTGAAAGAACCTTAAATTATTAAATACCTCAGTCTTCTGTTTTGGTAAAGAGGCTTTCAATAAACAAAGCTGTTTTTAACAGCTATAATTTAATTCAATGAACCTGTAGTGCATGAAAAACAACAAGCAACAGAATGTTATTATGAAGGTCCATGATCAAATCACTTATCAAAATAAAAAAATTAATATGTCAAAAAAATTGAATTCTGTTCTAATAAAATTGATGTTGTAATTTCAATTATTAAAGGGTCCAACCAGGCAAGCAAGCAATACATTAGCATTATCGTCAGTGGACTTTCTTAATGAAGAAGTCAGTGAAGATAAAACTGTCAAAATGCGTATACCAGACACATCACAAATGATGCCCTTTAAGCCAACTGCAGGAACAGGTCAGTACCACTTCTGATACTGATTGATATTGAATATTATTAGAATATTGAATATTTTGACTTGAATTGTGATTTTATATCTTGGGTCTCCAGGTTCTTATATGGTGGGGCTCAAAATGAAATCTTTTAGGTTCTTAAAACCCATGGGTCTGGTTAAACAAAGGGTGGATGAGGTTATCCAATCACTATAGATTAAATTATGCCATGGATTTTTTCATCACAGAGGGCGATTTATGTTGTGAATGCAATMGTATTCACCCTTTGAACAACTTGCTCCAGCCAGCAGGCTCTTACARTGGACTATTACACCGTATTTTGTTGTGATGATTGATTGTGCAATTGATGTGGTTATAACATGATTGTGATGGTGTTAGTTACAGTAATAGCAGTGAAAGTGGCRCAATTCCATTGAGTCGGATCATGACTAATGTAGCATACTTTCACTGTTTGTCCTTCCAATGTAATTGATAGAGTGGTTTCTATAGACCTGTGAAACATAGTATAGTCAATGTGTAATTATTTGTGATGAACCAAAAAGAATGATATCAAGGGTATCTCTTCTTGTTCTTTGCAGCTGGGTTTCAGCCTGTTCCTGGGGGAGTGTTTCCAGTCCCTCCAGCTGCTGCTCACTTAATGACTTTATTACCACCCCCCTCATGTTTTCAGGTATTATTATGTTACTGAACTGATGCTTCATTGCTTATGATTTTCATTTACAATAAATACAAACACTGAAAGAGCCAACCTTYATAAACTATTTGCAAAACCTTGTGTGCAATAATTTATCAGATTAGATTCAGTCAAAAAAAAACTAGCTGTGAGATAGTGTTGTATGCTAAAACATTTCAATTTAGTGGCAGTGAGTGCAGGTAGTACTAAGGCATGCCTGATACTGAATGACATTATTTCTCTATATATGTAAAAAAATATCTGACTTAATATCATCACTCTTTTTAAGGGGCCATTTGTTGTCATTGATGAACTCATTAGGATGATTTCCCAATGTACCATACCTGAACCACCAAGTCAGGGGGAGACAGGTATTAATGGCTTTGAGGACAACATGGACACAGACCATTCAAAGAGGGGTGTTAAGCGTGCAAGTGGGAATGACAGTGATGATGAGGGCTCAACTGTCGCCCCACCATCAAATGATATATATCGTAGCCGTCAACAGAAGAGAATCCACTGACTCAAAATGATCATAATATGATTTTACCATGCATGATGATGTGTAGTGTATGGAAAGTTTGAGGATATCGAGTATTGTTGATGAAGTAATTTCTGTCAGTTAATTACACATCTGATAATGAGAAAAACAATACAAGTTAAATGTGAAAAATCATGATTATGCAAATGTGAAGTTGTATAATCATTCAAAACATCAGGTGAAATAGAATATTCCTCATGCAGTTACAGCTGTTGATTGTAATACATCAGTTCATGGAAATTTCATTATATTACAACTTTTAGAAAATTGCATGAAGATAATACTTAAAGTACACAGTACACGTTTGAGAAWTCATTTTTATGTGAAAGGAGGCATGTTACTTAGCACTGTGAATTAGAATTGTATATACTCTGAACTATAGGCATTTAAAGTGCCTATGCACCTTGGACAAATATTGTTTTGATTTAAAGTTTAAGTCCTCAATCATAACAATTTTTTCAGAGAATGAAAGTCACCAAAATTAATAGAAAGTCTTGATTTTACAGCRGTTTGAAATTCCATTATAAGCTTCCCTTTTTACAACAGATACATTGTTTTAAGTATATGGTCTATTTTTAATATATGTTGGATTTGGCAAGGGTGCATGGGCACTGAAAATTGAATGCAAATCAAACATGACACCAACTAAGGATTGTTTTTTATTCTCACATCTCAAACATTAATCTACCCTAGATACTGCTGTGCCAAAAGACTTAAAAATTCCCTAAAAGTTACCAGATCCTTGTTTTTGTACCCCTAAACAATAGATGCAAATTATCCCTGCCCATGTTGATATACATGTATTTGAGTCACCTGCAGGATAGTTTGGTGRATACTATTAAAAGCAATCAGTCTCTGTATCGTTAACTATGAGTTGATAGTCTAAAAGTACTGTAAGTTACTCTTTTGGACTATCACTGCATATTAGCTACTCAACTGCATTTTAGTCCAATAATATTTAATTGATCTATTTGCAACATGACCATACAATAAGCACATGTGAGTGATTGAAAGTAATAACTAAGTGTCAAGGGTTAAAATCTAGGCTCTGGTCTTCAAAGTGAAGTTATTTGAATGTAAAGTTATGGTTCTTTTAATATACTCTGGATAAGATGACAGCAGTAACTCTCACTTATGCGACCCCAACAATGATTTAAAAGTGCAATTGGTTTTTATTGAGTGATCAACAAAATACTTGTAACTYCAGGAAAAGTATCAAATATTTGAATATTTGCACTCATTTATATAGCCCTTTTTATATTGTGTATTATATTAATTTATTAGAACTTCATCTCATTCCAAACTTGTACTGATATGTATTTCAAACCTGAAAGTATTTTTTAGTTTATTGAATATCATAATTATAGCTATTTAGGAAAACTTTAAGGTCATTAAAGCAGAAAGATGATTGAAACTTAATCAAAGATTTTCATTCAGTAGACTATATTTGCCTACTTTAACACTTGGTTGTGCATCCTCCTAATGTCTTGACAACCACTTTTGAAATAGCCATGATTGCTTCATCGTGATGATTGCAAAATATATGACATGGTATGTAATGATCTTATTCAGTGACATTTGACTCTAAGTATTGGATATTTATAGGTAGACTATTTTGTACATGTGATAATTTATTACTGATGTCAATAAATGTTTATAGAACAAAATTATTCTTAGTCTATTGAATTAAATTTAAGCTAATTTTGTTTTTAGGAAGTTGAAGTTCATCAAATCAAAAGAATCTTTTTGTAGCATAAAACCTTTTGCCTTCTAGTTGCAATTATTTACAAAATGTTTCATGTACATGTATATAGGAAATATCACAAATGATGAAAAATTATATCAAAATCATGACTTTCTGACAACAAAAATTATTTTCAAAACATTGCAAAGCCATCTCAAAGGTCTATTTTCTTGGTTTCTGCATCACTTTGGTGCAAAACCACAAGTTCTCTGGGACAGTGGGGTATAGTGTTGCTTTGCCCCAATTCCCTTTGATACTGRTACTCAAACTAAGTCTTATTAATGTTTAAACTTTTTGTTGGTCCAGTCCTGAACTCCCTTTCTGTCCGCTTCGTTAAGCTGAGGTCCCCGTGATTCCTGGAGTGAGTCGAAAGGCCAGGACTGGGCTATTTGTGTGAAGTTAAAAAACATGTGAAAGAGATAAAACACAAATAGAACACATTTTGTTTTATTTTGTGTCTAATTGTATCAAACGTTTTGTTCACATGTTTAATGACTTCACTCTAGTATAATGAATTTACAAGGTAACAAAATAATGAATGTGCATGTAATCACAGCAACAATAATTTACCCAATCATGTAGTTGGGTTSCAAAAGATTACATTGTCAAAGCTTAGACTGAAAGGGAGCATGGGAAAATTTGAAACAAATGTTGAGACAGTATTTCAGTTCCAAAAGATTGTCAGTGCTAAATAAAAAAGCCTCTGAGTAATGCTATAATATAATAATATAACATGTATAGGCAAATACTGTTTGATTCAAAAATCTAAAACAAAAGACAGATTTATCAATCTCAAGATTTTAAATTGCCCGGGGTTGACAGCCCTGCCTTTTTTCACTTTTTAGATGTTTTGGTCTAGTAACCATGTACAAAAGAATTGTAGAGGAGGCTCAGGGGAAATAAAAGAATAAATTATCCATTATTATTATTATTAAGATTATCCATTGTTTCCCAAAGGCATCATCTGCAATTCTGTACATGGTTACTCAAACTATCTATTAGACAACGATGAATGTTGGGTATAAATCTTAGAGTGCATGCTACATAATTGTGAAACAATTCTTAACTAATTAGCGCCTAATAATACTTAGTTATAAACTGAATAAGAATTCTTTTAGGCATAAACAAAACAACTTCCTTTCTGGCATTGTGCCCATGCACCAGTGAATTGTTAGTTGATAACTGAATCTTATTTAGCTGTTGATTGTTAAGAATTGTTTCACAGCTTTTTGGCGTGCACTTTAATTAATTAGCTTAATTTCTTATTATGTGTTTTTATTATATGACGTAAATAGTACACACACTCTGATTGGCTGAAAACTGGTCCGTGAAATCGCGTATCCAGACCGTGGGTCCRTCTTTTTGTGTATCTGGACCGGAAATTGCTAATCTTTGAAAATGCTCTATCGACAAAACAAAACTAAAACACTGGTGTGCATATGGCTGCTTACAGCATTGTCTCTGGTCCAACAATGGTATACGACTGTGCACAAAAATCCAKGTGTACAAAACTGTTGTAATGAGTACACTTCTATAGGGTTCTGAGTTGTGGACGCAGTATCGGTGCCATATCAAAGCACTAGAGCAGTTCCATCAACACTGCCTTCGAAAGATCTGCAACATGACCTGGAGATACAGAATACCCAAGAGTGAAATTGTGAAAGTGTGGAATCAATTGTCAATCGTGCACAACTTCGATGGGACGGACTTGTGGTGAACATGGGCCCTTAAAGAATTCCAAAGGCACTGCTATTTGGTGAGCTCAAATCAGGGAAAAGGAAGAAAGGTGGGCAGCGCAAGCTGTACAAAGATGTCCTTAAAGCCACACTCAAAGGATACAAAATGGCCCCCTCATCTTTTGAGTCTTTGGCAAATGATCGTCCTTTATGGTGTGCCAGCTGCAACAATGGGCAAAAGATCTTTGATGCAACTCGAACCTCAAGACTTTCTGAACTGCGTCGTCACCGCCATGCTRMAAACCAGCAGCCGTCATCGAATCAATTTGCCTGTGATAACTGTGGGCGCATCTGTGCCTCACGCATTGGACTGTTAAGCCATCGCAGGCACAAACATTAAATGGAAATAGAAACAAGCATTCATCGATACGATGAGCTAATCCATCAAAATCAAAATCATCAACATATGATAAACAACGTTCACTCGTGAGAGATCTTTTCAACACTCAAAGATAAAATCCGTATCTCCACGCGCCCATGTAATATCCTMTAGACTATAACTTATAAATAGCTTATTGCATGAAGCTGCCAATCTGTAAAAACTTTTTTCTTATAATTTGTCATTGAAAGATGATGCTGATTGTATATCATATGTAGGTTGATAGTTAAAAGGCTCTAGTTTTTCATCTTCAGGAAGCAAGTTATTCAGTCTATCCATCATTGGAATTATTCTCTTAATATTGAAATCTAGCCTCCTTAATGTTTGGCTCATTTCTTGGACTTTCTTCAAATGCGCCGACACGTGAACTAGCCTTCGGTATCTGTCGCTGACGGCACTCATTACGGCAGCACAGTTAACGTCAACTTCTTTGATTCGTGATGAAAGCATGTCTTGATCGAATGAGACAGCCTCAGCGCACTGCCTCAGATGATCTTCGTATCTTGTACACAACTTTAAAAGAGGCGTTAAATCAAATCTTTCGAGACTCTCAAACTCCTTRGGTGTACTTGCTTGTACTGAAGCACGCAAGACAGGTTTACAATGCTGAAGCAATTGAAGATTTTTTAAGTCTTCGTCGATGTTCTGATGAGGTCTTTGTCCTTCGCTCACAACGTAGATGTCATCTAAAGTTGATTTGTTTTTTAACGTCTTGCTCTTTATATTCGTCTTCTCCACAGAGTAGCTTGTGTATGGAATATCAGAAGGTGAACTGCTAGCTCCTGTTTGAGAAGTACTCTGTTCTTGGCCCATTTTATTGGATGATAGACCGATGCACAAATAACGAAGCAACACACAAATAACGACACAAGCGAAACAAGCAACACAATCTGGAAGTCTATACACAGGTAGCCCGTCTGGCTTGTCTGAAATCGCTACCTCTTTCCCAGGCCATTTTAAACAAAAGTGAGCAGAGAAGCCTTGAAACAGAGGTTGTCGAAAACCTCCCAGGCGGATACTCCCCCCAAACTTGGGTGGGGGTGTGCCGCTGCGACGTCAAAACCCTGATCCTGTTCCAGAGTAAAATCGCTGAAAACGATATCCTGTTCCAGAGAAAATCCTGTACTACCTTGCGTGTAGACTGAATTTTTACCCCGTGAATTTTTACCCAGCATCAATGTTTCCGGAATTAAACCCTAACCCTGTTCCAGAGAAAATTTGTTGAAATCGATACCCTGTTCTAGAGTAAAATCACTAAAAACTATACCCAGTTCCAGAGTAAAATCGCTGAAAACGATACCCTGGTTGGCGGCAAGTCCCCGTATAGCGATTATAGGGGAGTTTTTTTCAAGTTGTTTATCGATATATGAGGTAATATGGGAATAAATAGATGGATGAAAACGAGCAGAAAATACTTGATGAGTGGATAAATGGATGGAAGTGTATTTAAGTTTTGGTGAATAGACGGTAGAAAATGGATGAATGGGTTAAGGAAACAGTGTATGGAAATAAGTAGAAAGATAAGCAAATTTAAATGAGAAATAGAACAAAACGGAGAAACTGAAAAGAATGATTAAATAAAAARTAGAACAAAATATATACAAGAAATAGACGGAAGAAAAGTATAGAAAAAAATACAAATATGTAACGTGTGCGGGACGATCTCGATAAAAAGGTCGCGTGGTGCTCTTGTGGAGAAGAAGCGGATTGTGGTTCATACCCCCGTTTAAGACATCCTTCCAAAAAATATACCCCCATCTTAAAGAGACGTTTTTAAAATTGTACCCCCTACATAAAAACACCGTCCTCCCTGAGACATAAAAAACGAACAGTCCCTAAGTCACAACTGGTTGCCAGCGAGAAATTGCCCYAGTKCATTATGACGTCACATCAAAACATTCTATTGTTTTAACGCTAAGGATTATGGTCGCCAGAAGGGATCAGAGTGACTGCATATCAAATCAAATGTACATGAACAATCATTTATACATGATATATATCAAAACGCGATTCATTGAGATTCTACTTTATTAGACAATATAAATGGGTCCAAGTTTCTACTGTTTTCGAGCATCGTTTTCCGATGTAAACATACTATGACGTCATAATGAAATAGGGCAATTCAGAAAGACCTCTCCAGGCAAGGAATACCTTACTTTCTAAGAATTTTGATATATATTTCCTAACTTAAAAAAATTATCTRAGAACTGGGTCTGAATGGGGGGTCCCGATATCAGTTAACAGCTAAATTTTGGCAATTTTCTCAGTTATCAGTTAAATTTGTCGGTTCTCAGTTAAGCTACAGGGACTGTGCAATGATTACCAGGAGGGGGGCCCATAAAACCAGAGGGGGGGTATGACATAAAATTGATGGCAGGATAGTCAGGATAGGGGAGTAAAATTACCTAATTAACAGAGGGGAGCCTTAAGTTTCATTCAAAATTTTCATAATTTTCGATATCTCTCAAAATGCTGGAAATCGCATTTCCAAGAGTTAATTTTGAAAATTATTTGAAAGAAGCAGGGGCACCACATTTGCTTGTCAGCTCCTCTTGAAAGTTTTTGTCTTTACACTAGGCCCAGATAAGTGAGCCACCTCTTGTATCTGGGTTCGTCTTCAGTGAATTTTGGGTTGCTACAGTTTACAACTTTTACAACTAAGGTTAATAGTTGGGGGGAGGGGTTCGACGTTATCTCTAATGTAGCAGAGGGGGGTAAGAGCTATTTTC